TACACTTCATGGGATTGCAAAGAGTTGGACACAACTTACTGCCAAACAACAAAAGCAATTAAAAATAAATAACTTTGTGGTAGGTTAGAAAAAAGAAATATTACAAAAATATCCACCTTTAACATGACATATTGAGGTAATATTTCCCATTATTCAAGTGAAGTGAAAGTAGCTGAATAGTGTGGACTCTTTGTGAACCCATGGACTATACAGTCCATGAACTTTCCCAGGACAGAATACTGGAGTGGGTAGCCTTTCTTTTCTTCAGGGGACCTTGTCAACCCAGGGATTGAACCCAGGTCTCCCACATTGCAGGTGGATTCTTTACCAGCTGAGCCACAAGGGAGGCCCACTAATCGAGGGTAACTACAATAAGAACGTCTGACATTTTAAGACCTTGAGAGGGAGGTGGCCCTTTTAATCCTGCAGCACTGATATTTACTGATAAGACCAGTGCTTGATGCTGTTCTTCTTAATATTCAGGGTCCCTCATGAAATAGCTGAGAGAAGGAATCTTCCTGCCCATCTATAACCATATAGCTCTCACTAGGGATGTAACTTGACAGACGTGGCACAAGTTCAACTTGTAGAAGAAGGAGACACTCAGGTCAGCTCTCTGGTAGGGAGTGAGAAGATGATATGGAATCTTAAAAAAGTCCATACCTAGTTGGTGATTGATACAAACCCTCTAAGGTCTTTTAAAACCATATCCAGGCATTTATAAAAAGAGCAGATGAGGAAGAGCTGGCATTAATTGGACCCTCAGTTTTGGGTGAACAATTTATAGATGAAGATGGGAGGGAATAAGTGTTGTGAGGGGACATGCAGCCAGCAGGTGGGTCAAGTGGGTGAGGCCGTATAACCAGTTGATGCCATTGGTGTTTTCAGATTATTATCCTGCCACGATTGAGAACACAGAAGGCAAGGTGAAAGCAGGACACCTGGGCAGACAGGTTTCATAATGGGACCAAGATTCTAGAAAGGTCCTTACCTCTGTTATGAACCTCATCTCTATAAGGAGGTCACTGTTAGTTACATTGACATACTACACGAGTAGCATCCACCTACAGCCCAGCATGTAGTAGGTGCTCACTAGCAAGTTGCTCGGGCAGCTGGCTCTGCCCTGCTCTGGGGTCACTAAGGCAGATGCCCAGTCCATCCTGAGGCATCCACTGTCCTCCTATCTGTTCCATGACTCGCTTCAACGCAAGTACCTTGGAGGCCTCCTCCCTACCTGATGATGAATTCCTAACCCTTGGACAGGACCGTAGTCTCCCAGACACAAGGCAGTGTCTCTCAGGAACCCTGTCTACACTGCCCACTCCCATCTCCATAGATGTATGCTTCCCAGAGGCATAAACCTTAGCCTCATGTTTCCTTATCCTCACTTTCACCCTGAATCTTACCAGGAAATCTCATCCACCTGTGCTTTGATGCTCCCTGCTCTCTGCCTTGGTTCTCTCACAGCTCCCACGCTCCCACCTCTCTTATCTCCTGACCTAGCAAAGTTCATTCCACAGGAGAGGGTGAGGCTTGACCAGCCCACGTGACTGCAGACGGATCTGTGCTGACAGACCCCCTGTCAATATCATGTCATTACCATCCATGAGTGTCACCAGGTTAGACCCCAGCTGGTCCATGTCCCCTGTGGGTCATGATGACTGAGACTTGTTCCAGGTCACGAGCTGCCTGATTTCAGGAGGAGACTCCAGCTCTGCCCAACCCTGAGGGCCTCTGAGTCTCTACCTGACAGCTCCTGTGCTCCTTGGACTGTCTGAGTCAGCCTGTGTGCTCGTGGGAGATTTCCTCTGAGGGCAAGTCCCCTTGGGCGGGCTGGGGACACAGAGGGATGTCAGGTAGCAGGTGCTGTGTAGTATTGGACCCTTGTTGTGCAGCTCCTGGCTCTCTGTATCCATGAGGATGCCGACTGCATAACATCCCATGATCAGTGCTTAACACATTAAAGCACATCTTTGTTCACATAATAGCCAGTGCGGATATAACTGTTGCAGTTCCTCACTAGGCAGCACTCCTCCGAGTTCACGCTCTCTGCTTCCTTTTCGTGCAGCTCAAAGTTGTGGTGAATGAGGGGATCTCCTTCCCTCTGGCCCTGCCAGTCTCTCCCCATTCCCCACACCCTATCCAGGTGCCCTAAGTCTGATTCTCACCTTGTACTGCGTCCCAGCCAGACCTGGCATCACAACCATGATTCCTACCTCTGACCTGTGCTCACAATTTTGCCCCACATGGGGCTCTGCTGTGTGGACATCTCAGCCTTGTCCTCCCGGCAGACAGCCTCCAGCAGCACCCACAGCATTGGAGTGGCCTAGTCTAGTCTCTGAGGACTCATGGGCTATCACTGTGGTAATGCTGGCAGGATGCCTCCAGTGACATCACCTCCGTCCTGTGGAGTGTGAATGGGACTTAGGGACTCGAATCCAACTGAGAGGGTAAGGTAGAATTGAGGCCGAGTGCCTCGGAGGTTAGGCAGCAGAAGGTGTCTGCTGCTCTCTAACTCTCCCTTCCTCACCCCCTGTCTCTCCTTCATGACTGGCTTGCTCTGGAGAAGTCTGCTGAGTGGCAACTACCAGGTCACTGACAAGCCCTCAGGCGGGGCTCTGATCTGCCAGAAGCTTTGTGAGTGAGCTTGAGGGTGTATCCTCCAGCCCAAATCCAGGCTCTGGTCCCCCCAAACTAGAACAGGTTGGCTGCCTCCTCATGAATGACCTGAGTGGGAAGCCTCAGCTGCTTCCAGTGCTCAGGGTACATAATTGACCACTCATCCATTAATGCCCATGGCCAGGCACCCCAAGTAAGCCCACACATTGATTCACTGACTGTGATCAGGAGGGTGAGGTGGGAGGGAAGGGGATTGGGTTTGAGGGGGTGTGTGGAGCTGATGTGACAAAGGAGGTGACATTCACTGACCAATTTGAGGAGACACGGTGACCAAGGAAAGAGATCAGCAGGTCCCAGAACACAGTATGTGAGAGAGCAGAAACTCATGGAACCACCCAGCTACCCAGAAAAGTGAGGGCATAATAACTCCATGCTGCCTTCAGACACTAAGGTCTGCAGTGCTTTAATACCCAAGAATGGAAAATTGCAGTGGGCAGAAATCTATCTCCTTGGCCAATCGTGCCTTGCCTTCATGGTCGTGCCCACCTGCCACCTCCTCGGTCTTCCCTCGTGGGAACTCACTCGCAATCTCAAACCTATTCCTCTTCATTTCCTCTTCTCTTGGGAACCTATAGCACCCACTTGATCAGGTCAGAACAGGCCATCATGAGATGCTGGGTACATATACAACCGGACTTATAATCATACCTACCCACAAACATTCCATTCTGGTTCTGATAGTAAACAACCCACCAGCAATGTGGAGACCTGAGTTCAATCCCTAGGTTGGTAAGATCCCTTAGGGAAGGAACAGCTACCCACTCCAGTATGCTGGTCTGGAGAAGTCCATGGACAGAGGAGTCTGGCAGGATATAGTCATTGGGCTCACAAGGAGTTGGACAGGACTTAGTGACTTTCACTTTCCCACCATTCCTCACAGGATGTAGAATGGTTAATTATTTTATTAAATCCATTCCACTCCTAACATTCAAGGTGCACATGGTAATGCTTTTTTCTCTGAGAACAAAAGTGAGGTTTGGAAGGGATGTGACTTGCGCATGGCCACTGCTAAGGGTTAGGTCAGTCTTGGACACATATTTACATTCTTGAGATGACCCACATTCATGGTTATTGGTGTTGTTAGCTTCTGTTGGAAGAAAAGCTATTTTCCCACATGCGTGTTACGGCTCAGAGTACGGACCCTATGCTCCCATCCTGTCCCCTCCCTTACGATGTGTGTCGCTGACCAGTGGCCCAGAATATCTCTTATCAGAGGCATGTCCTTGTCCTGCCTGCTTGCAGACACACAGGACAATGCACTCCTCATGTTCCTTCTCTTCCTGGTCTGCCATGTGTCTGCACATAGCCTCTCCCTTGTCTCCCACAGAACAGGGCAGAGCTGGTAATTTGGAGCTGACTGGTCAGGGAGGAGGAGGCAACATGCCATTCTCTGGATCATTGGATCCACCACGTGAGAAGGGGAGACATGGCAGCAGGGCTGCAGGGCCAGGCTGGGGTTAAATGGGAAGCTTTGATCAGTGTTCCCAGTTGGGGAGTAGGGTAGAAGAAGAGAAGAAGCCTGAAATAGAATCCTTTCATTGATAAGCTGACATTGATGGAGCTCCCTTTTGTGTCAAGCTCAGGACTGAAGTTACAACAAATGAGTAGGGGCTATCTCATGGAGCTCTCAACTCATGTGACATCAGAGCTGAGAGGTCACTTTATTCAACCAGGAAAACAGAGACTCAGAGGAAGGGTGAAGAGGACTGTGCATGGTCATTTAGCCAATGACAGAGCTGAATTCTCCTTCCCCACCTCGTGGTCCCTGTGGCTGCCAGCCCGGGGCTCAGACGCTCAGAAACTCAAAGGTGCCTGGACGAATCAGGAGGTTGTGGCCTGGCCTTCCTCTCCAGCTCTGAGAGGGAGGAGCTGGGACAGGAAGGATGCAGGAGCTTGTAGGAGAAAGCCCTGCACTTGCTGGTGGCTTCTGTGCTGTCAGTCAAGGCAGAGGAAGAAAAACCTGCTCACTGGAGCTGCTCTTTGTCCTGCTCGTTGAGTGACAGTTTCACAAAGGACACAGACACAGACATCATTCTCTCCCAGCATCTCTCCCATTTCTCAGGTGGGCAGACATGAAGAGGACCCATTACAGAGGAGGCACAGCTGGAGAGCAAATCACTGATGCCAGAATCTGGTCTCCTCTCCCAGGAGCCAGTGGTGACCTGGGGCCTGGTATGGGGTGGAGCTTCAGGAGTCAGTGAAGGCTCTGGAGATGTGTTCAACAGACACCTCCAGGAAGCCTTCTGGGATCACAGCACCTCCCTCCATCCTCCCTAATGCCAGCCCTGCATTTTGGAGGAGCCCCTACTCTGGGGACGTGCTCAGCAGATCTCCAAGTGTTGGTCTCTGGGGACGTTGTACTTGAGCTTGTGGGCTTCGAAGAGATTTTCCAGCTCCTTCACGTAGCGCTGGTGCAGCCTGTCCACCTCCTCCTGGGAGGGATGTGGTGTCTTCTGCACCCTGATGGGCTTCCCCACTGCAAGACACAGAGGTGCGTGATGGCTCAGAGCCGGAACCTGTGAAGGCGCAGGGACCTTGGTGTTCCCACTACAATGGTCATCGGGGCAGGTAAGCATTGGAATTCCCTCCCTTTCAATTCTTTTTTTGTGTTACTAAGATGTTAGATCAAATTCAAGATTCTGATATATCAACAATACAGCCAGCACATTTGCATGCATTATCTCTTATGTTATCCTGACAATCCTATGAGGATATAACCGGGTATTATTCCTGTTTGACTGCTGAGGAAAAGAGGCCCAGGGTGGTTAAAGAGCTTGTTCAAGGTCACATAGCCAGGAACAATCAGCACCAGGGTGTGAGCCCCTGGGATGTGCACTTAGCTTCAGGGAAAGGTGAATCTGGGATTCTCAGAAGCCATGATTGGAAGAGCCTGTGTCTGTGGGAGGAGGTGGATCATAAAGCAGCTGCCATGCTGTCTTTCTTGGGAATGGCCTGGAGGTAGCAGCACTATAAACATTCAAGAAAGGCACCACACAATGCAAACGTTTGATAGAGGGGGTTGTCTGTGTTCAACTAAGAAATGACTGGATGAGTAGAGATGAACAGCTCTATTAGTACTGCCTTGGAATCTAGTTGGAATTCAAAAAGGAAGCAAATAGCTGAAAGATGGTGCTAAGTCTATGGACTAAAGACCGTGCCCATTATTTACAAAGAAATCTCTCTGGCTCTCCTTCAAAGCCTGCTGATTTCTACTTTACACACAATTCTAACAGACCTGGAATGGTCATGTATCCACCTTCTCCAATTACTGCCATTAGATCCTGTGATCAGAATTATACCCTCCTTGTCTTCCATAGTAAAAAGTCAAATACCCTCATCAAACCTCAACTTTGTTACCAAGGGAAGGGTGTCTCTTGGAAGTGCTTTACATTCTGTGGGTCTGTGTTTGCAGTCAATAAAATGGGGATGAAAGTCCCTCCTGACAAGCTGTTGGGAACACTAAGCCGTTGCATGTAAGGAGCCGGTGCAGTGCCTGACACAAGCAGGGGCACAGTAATCAGTAGTGGCTACTGGCTGTTGTGCCCCTGTTACTCTTCTTATTCTAGACTGCCTTTCATAGGGTTACTTGCTAGTATATGTGTTTTATACACCAGAAAGGGAGCTCCACAAAGTCAAGGGTATACTGCTCTATGTCCAGGTCTCCTTGCAGCACAAGCCCAGGCCTCTTACTCTATAGCCCTTCCCCTTCCAGCCCGGGTCCAGGCTCACCCACAGTGGTGATGGGTCGGCGGTAGGGCATAAGACCCAAGCTGTACTGGAAGACTCCACGGCCATAGAAGAGAGGGATGGAACATCTAATGCTCTTCAGAATTCGGTTCTGAAACCACCGCAACCAGGAACCAGGAGAGTTCTCAACCTGGTCATATATGTCATTCTCCCCAAAGGAGAAGATTGGCACCAGATCTGCCCTAGAGGGAGACAGGAGAGAGGGCTTGTGGAGGGGTAAGAAGACACAAGCTGGTTCCCTAACCTCCTGAGGGGAGCTAGTGAGCAGGAACTGGAGCAGAGGACAGGGCCCTGGACCAAAAGTAGGAGGCCTCGGGTGTCTCCCAGAACTGCCACGGTCTTATTTTATAATTTCAGGCAGGTCATGGCGCTTCTCAGGGCCAAGGCCTGGCACTCGATTGTGACTGAGTCCATGCTCGCTCTGCGTGCCACAGATAGGCCAGTGCATCTGAGATGAAGTGTTGGGATGAGGAAGGGACTATTCAGAGTGGCTGACCAAGAAAATGGCATGCTAATGCATCCAAACAACTATCCTGTAGGGCCAGGATGCCAAGTTCTTTATGGATCATAGATTGGGGTATAGGTGAGGAAACAAACTGAAAAGACTGTTTGATCCTTGCAAATGTCCCCAAGAATGGGGATGCTCAGGCAGGAGAATGTGTTGTTTTCACTTCCTTACAGTCCTCTACAGGAGGGCAGCTCCGGTTGTCTTCCTTAGGCAGCCCATTATGTGTCCCCACGGGAACAAAAGTTGCAAGATGAGGGTTAAAGTCACAGAAGCAGGTCCAGCACAGATTCAAGATTAACACTTTTGGGTCACAGGATCATGAGAGCAAACCAGAATTCGGCTGAGAGTCCTCCAAGACAAAAAAACATTTGCAGACTTTCTGGGAAAATCTCCTCCAGCTAGCTTTGTGTTCTTCACAGATGTTTAAAGATAGGAGAATAGCTTTATAGCAATATGACTTTTGAGACTTAATCTCTTTAGTCACAAAATCTTCCTTCCAGAATCTTCTCTGGGTATGTGGGCCTGAGACAGTGCATCTATCACCAACATACAGTCTTCATTGTTAATGAATGGAGACTCTGCCTGCCAACATAGGATCTGCATTTGCATCTACAGCCTTCCCTCCAAGCTACAGTCCTTGCCAATCTCCAGGTGAACCCAGAGCCCTCTCCCCAATACCCGTGCGTGAGGGCGAGCCTGATGAAGCCCTTGCGGTTCCGCAGCACCAGCTTGAAGGCTCCAGGCCTGGCATTCAGTGCCTCCTGGACGCCCCCAACAACGATGGACAGCAGGTTGCCACCTCCTTTCCTGCTCAGAATGTGATCAGCACTCTCCTTGTCTGATGAGACCAGCCCTGGGGAGAGAGGAAGGTGGTCACATACAGTGTGAAGGCAGCAAGCATGGATCAGGAATATGTGACTTGGGCTCTCCCCCATTTACCAGCTCGGAGGACCCTGATGACAGGCACTGAGCACTACCCCTTTTCCCAACACTCCTGCCAAGTTTATCACTGAGCCCAGAGCGATGGAAAATGCTTCTTTGGGTCTCATCTCCTTGTCCACTACACATTCACTTGGAAAAAGTCAGATCAATTGGCCATCCTCATTAAAAATCCCTCCTCATGTCTTCAGCCCCCATAGTCCTGGGATAGAAAGAGTGGAAGAACTCACCCCCTGTCATGATGTAATCCCTGTAGACAGGGGCCCAGAAACACCAGTGCATCAACATCAGATGTGAGCGGATGCCTGGGAAAACTGAGGAGAATCCCGTACCCTCCGTGCACAGGTTGGTAAACGCTCCGGTGGCGAGGACCCCATGAGGGTGGAAGCCAGCGATGTAGTTTCGGGAGGGGTCCAGCTCGGCAGTCTTGACCAGCTATAGGCACAACAATCTGGTGAATCAGGTCTGCATCCACTACCCCGCAACCCCCACTGCTGCCTCCCTGCTAAGTTTCTGTGCTGACCTCTTCTATGTGTCCCCTGAGCCCAAGTGCTATCACACCCCATGTGAGTGTCCTGTGATGAGATTGCCTGTCTGAGGATCTTTTCCCTGGTGAAAGAATGAAGTAGAGTATATACTCAGGGAGACTATGGGATGAAAATGGAGAACATAGTATCACGAATGGATGATGCCAATGCCGCCTGCCTGGAAAGGAAGAACCCTGCCCAATGCAGAGGTAGGACTTCTGGGAAGAAGACAGGAGACAAGCCATGTACTATATGAAGGCAGACCTTCTCCCAAGCAGAGCCCTACCAAAATGAAGGAGCCAGCACAGGAGGGAGTGAGCCTCTCACCAAGTTTTTGGCATCTGGAGTTCTGTCCCAGGTAAAGAGATGGAAGCCCGAGTCCCTGTGACTCACTGTAAGAGACCCCAGTGTGCTGAAGGTAGAGGTTGGGAGGAGGGCCATGCGGTCTCTACTGATGCCTGCAGGTGTGGGTGGAGAGGGGTCAGGGAAGTGTCTTGTCAGGCCTGCAGCACTTCCTGACACCAGGTCACAGCCTGCCCGCAGCACTGCACCCCTGTCAGGCCTTGGCCTGTGGAGACACTACTGTTCCTGGATAGTGAAATCTTACACAGAAACTCAGCTCCAGAACTGATCACAGGATGAGGGGGAATCAATTTCCTCAGGGAAACACTGCCTGATTCTCCACCATTACCTCTGTGGAAAGCCCATAGTGTGCATTAAGATGCTCCAGTGCTCAGAAGTAGTCTCCTAAATTCTCTAGAAACTCTACCATTAGGCACTAGCTCATAGAATCACAGCAATGAGGAATGTGAGTGGAGTACCCCAGCAGAGTTGCTAGGACAAGGAATGTTGCTTGCCTGCCTTCAAGTCAGCCACCACTGTAGCTGCAACTGACAATGGGCCTTGAAAGGAATTCAGGATGGAAGATAATAGGATACTGGTCACAGAGAGGGAGCATGCACATCACAGGAATCAATGAAGTGAGCCCAGATTTTGTATCTCCCCATATGTAGAAAAACATGAAAATCCCAAAGAAAGGCTATCCCAAAGAATGCTCAAACTACTGCACAATTGCACTCATCTCACATGCTAGTAAAGTAATGCTCAAAATTCTCCAAGCCAGTGCTCACTTCAGCAGCACATATACAACTAAGCCAGAAAGATAAAGACCAATATAGTATACTAATGCATATATATGGAATTTAAAAAGATGGTAAAGATAACCTTATATGCAAAACAGAAAAAGAGACACAGATGTACAGAACAGGCTTTTAGACTCTGTGGGAGAACGCGAGGGTGGGATGTTCTGAGAGAACAGCATTGAAAGAAGTACACTATCAAGGGTTAAACAGATCACCAGCCCAGGTTGGATGCATGAGACAAGTGCTCAGCGCTGGTGCACTGGGAAGTCCCAGAGGGATGGGATGGAGAGGGAGGCGGGAGTGGGGATCGGGATGGGGAACACATGTAAATCCATGGCTGATTCATGTCAATGTATGGCAAAAACCACTACAATATTGTAAAGTAATTAGCCTCAAACGAATAAAAATAAATGGAAAAAAAATTCTCCAAGCCAGGCTTCAGCAATACGTGAACTGTGAACTTCCAGATGTTCAAGCTTGTTTTAGAAAAGGCAGAGGAATCAGAGATCAAATTGCCAACATCTGCTGGATCATCGAAAAAGCAAGAGAGTTCCAGAAAAATATCTATTTCTGATTTATTGACTATGCCAAGTCTTCGATTGTGTGGATCACAATAAACTGTGGAAAATTCTGAAAGAGATGGGAATAGCAGACCACCTGACCTTCCTCTTGAGAAACTAATATGCAGGTCAGGAAGCAAAGGGTAGAACTCGACATGGAACAACAGACTGGTTCCAAATAGGAAAAGGAGTACGTCAAGGCTGTATGTTGTCACCCTGCTCATTTAACTTATATGCAGAGTACATTGTGAGAACACTGGGTTGGAAGAAGCACAAGCTGGAATCAAGATTGCTGGGAGAAATATCAATAACCTCAGATATGCAGATGACACCACCCTTATGGCAGAAAGTGAAGAGGAACTAGAAAGCCTCTTGATGAAAGTGAAAGAGGAGAGTGAAAAAGTTGGCTTCAAGCTCAACATTCAGAAAACTAAGATCACGGCATCTGGTCCTATCACGTCATGGGAAATAGATTGGGAAACAGTGGAAACAGAGTCAGACTTTATTTTTTTGGGGCTCCAAAATCACTGCAGGTGGTGGTTGCAGCCATGAAATTAAAAGACACTTACTCCTTGGAAGGAAAGTTATGACCAATCTAGATAGCATATTAAAAAGCAGAGACATTACTTTGCCAACAAAGGTCTGTGTAATCAAGGCTATGTTTTTTCCAGTGGTCATGTATGGATGTGAGAGTTGGACTGTGAAGAAAGCTGAGCACTGAAGAACTGATGCTTTTAAACTGTGGTGTTGGAGAAGACTCTTGAGAGTCCCTTGGACTGCAAGGAGATCCAACCAGTCTATCCTAAAGGAGATCAATCATGGGTATTCATTGGAAGGACTGACGCTGAAGCTGAAACTCCAATACTTGGCCACTTCATGCAAAGAGTTGACTCACTGGAAAAGACACTGACTCTGGGAGGGATTGGGGGCAAGAGGAGAAGGGGACGACAGAGGATGCAATGATTTGATGGCATCACCAACTCTATGGACATGAGTTTTGGTAAACTCTGGGAGTTGGAGATGGACAGGGAGGCACGGCATGCTGCGATTCATTGGCTCACAACAAGTCGGACACGACGGAGCGATTGAACTGAACTGAATCTTTTGACGTTTAGCTCCGTGGGTTGTTTTGTTTTCTTTTGTTTTTTTCCAACAGAGCCCCATAAGTACTTACTTCTCCCTTCCCTTTTAGAACAGCTCCTCAGAGATTTCTGAGAGGCTATCTCTGAATACAGTCCTCAGTAAGGCCTCAGAACAACACACCTGACAACTCTAAGGTTGTACACTTGTTTTCAGTAGACAATAGGGACACCCTGACCCCCCCATCCACTGCCAACCAAAGATCCCTGCAGGGCCTGCTCTGTTAAGGTGTGTGGATGACATAGAAGTTGCCCTGGGAGGTGACAAGAGTCCAGAATCTGTGAGCCACAGCGCCTCCTGCAGGCCTCAGTCCAGGAAAGGGAGGTGAAAGTGCATGTCCTCGCTCCCTCTGCTGGCCGCCCGCTGCTACTGCCCACCATCTGCAGCTGCTGTTGCCACAGGACTGCAGTGGCCCACAATCCTGAACACTGTGCTCCTGAAATTTCTGCAAATATGTTTCCCACAATGTCAATAGTGTCCTATGTGAGAAATCCTCTGGGGGAGATACCTGGTTATAGGAGAAACAGAAAAGACACAGATAAGACCGGCACAGAGACACTCAGCAGAGTTTTTCTGCCAAATGTACAAATGACAGCAGTTCCAAGGGTCACAGGAGAGCCAGATGCTGTCCTCAGAAGCCCCAGGATCACCTGATGTCTCATGGAATCCACGCAACCCAATGATTCATGTGGAAGCATTTCCTCCACTTTTCACATGAAACAATTGAAGCTCATAGAGCACGTGTACCTCACCTAAGGTCATACAACGGGCATTTCCAGACCCCTTTTAGAGCCTATGGTTTCCACTCCCGGAGATGACACCATATACATTCTTGTCTCCTGTGTCCAGCAAGGGCCACCTGTCCCTGTCTGGCATCTCTCTGTGTCCTCATTCCCTTCCTCTTCCTAGCCCCACTTGATAATCCACCATCACGACTGCTTACATCCAAGGGTTTAGCCTGTCTGGGATTCAGAATGGAGCAAACATCACTTCACTAAAATTCACGGTCCTGCATCCCTAAGGACTGATCCTTGGTCCAGGGTCCAGTGTACAAAATGGACGTGAGGTACCATGAGCCAGAGATCCGAGATTAAGAGATAGGCAGAAGAGGAGGAACTGGACTGTTTAGTGGATCCCTGGGGAAACTGAGATTCGGAGTGAGCAAAGCTCTGTCCAAGGACACAACGAATCAAACACACAGGGGCTGGATACATCCTGAGGGCTCTCTGCTCTGTGTCTATTCTCAGAGCCAATGCACACACTTTAAAAGCAGTAAAAGAACCTGCTCTATGTCCTTGCTCATGTCTTCTTCCCTCTCAGGGTATCAGTATCATCATCTGATAAAGTGTCAGCCAGATGCTCTAAAAATCTTGTTTTCATTAAGGATTCTTTCACTCCAAACTTAGACTGTTGAGGGATTAACACCTGTAAGATACATAAGTGTGCTGCACAACATGGCCAACTGGGTTCCTCAAATCCTGTTCATACATCAGTTTTCATAGTGGCCTCACCTCACTGAAGTTGGACAACCATAGTCAGACAAAAGCTGATTCTTCCCCTAATAGTGGTAGAAGCCTGTCTCTTGCTCCCGGCCCAGTATTCTGCTCACTGCACACAGGGTCAAACATCCCCATGGACAAACAGGGACTATGGTCCTGACCACTCCCTGGTCAGCCCCATACTCACCGAGATGGGGAAATAGTCCTTCGTGTACTTCCATATGGTCCAGTGCCTTAGGAAAGCACTCTGCCTGCCCCCCTGCCATGGCCTGTCTCGATCCAGGTACCACCAAATCGCATACAGGATACTGATCATCCAGAATCTTGTGAACAGGAGGCCAATGAAGACTGCCCAGCAGATCAAGTCTGAGAAGGGAAGCAGGAACCATTAGTGGTCAGAGGTATGAAGGAACGAGCTCTCCCTGTTTACCGAGCTCTAGCAGCACTGTCCATTCCAGCCCTCCTCCTAGGAGAAAGTGATCAGTTTCCCAAGATTTGGAAGATGAGAGAATGCTGTCAACACCACCAGTGTCACATTGAGAGCCTGGATTTGAAACCAGTTGGTCGAATTTCTAACTCAAGTTTTCCCACTGCACCAGATTGCTTACTCATTTGGGTCTTCCCCCTCCTCTTCCTTTTCTGTCTGTATTCACCAGATGCTCAGTATAAGGCCTGATGGAGATGTGATAGAATGAACTCTTTCTGGTATCCATTCTTTAGAACCCCAGAGAAAAGCTATTCTTTCTATCCAGCCCAGTTCCTATCTACTCCCAGCCCATCTTTCCATAGATACATCCCACACATTCCCCCTCTAGTTAAAGTCCCCCCATGACTTCTTATAACTTTGAGGCTTAGCTCAAGCACTCAGCCTGATCTCAAGCTCCCCACTGGTGGCCCACAACCTCTCTTGTTCCAGTCTCACTCACCACATGCACCTCATGTTCCGGCTATACTAAGTAGCTCAGTTGATACACTCCTTGAGCTCTAGCTCTTGCTGAGCTCTTTTTCGTTGCTGCCAGGCCCTGTCCTGCTGAAGCAAGGAGGGAGGAAGAAGGCAACTCATGCCTGGTCTGTTCATCAAGACTGCAGCAGGGCTAGAAAGAGCCCCAGTGAGCAGTTCCTCCCAAACTTATGATTCTGAGTCCTGTCACAGGCTAATCCTGGTTTTGACTCAGGGTCAGGTGGTCTTTGGGGCTGTCTTTAATCTGATGATAATTGAGCCTCACTGTTACCGAATATTGTATCCTCTACATTCCATTGCCTCCACTCACACTCATAAAGAAGTTCATCCCTCACCTGTAGTCTATTTGAAAGTAGGGTAAACCAGGACTGTGTTTCATGTCTGACTTCCTGGAGGAGTGGACTTCTGACCCAGTCAATAGTGCATGTGTGGGTGCTAAGTTGTTTCAGTGGTGTCTGACTCTTTGCAACCCTGTGGACTGTAGCCCTCCAGGCTCCAATGTTCATGGGATTCTCCAGGCAAGAATACTGGAGTTAGTTTCCATGCTCTCCTCTAGGGGATCTTCCAGACCCAGGGATCAAACCCACATCTCCTGTGGCTCCTGCATTGCAGGCAGTTTCTTTAGTGCTGAGGGACTGATGAAGCCCAGTCTGAATCATAGCAAAAGGCATAAATCAAAGTAGTTTGGGACTCACAGAGGCTCGCTTTCTGCATAGCACCTACCACATGCCAGATGCTGGTGGTTAAGCCGTGAACAACGGACAGGAATTCCTGCCCTCCTGGTGCTGGCTTCAGAGTTCTGTTTGGAGCACTTTGTTTGGTCCTTTCAATTTTAAGAATGGTAAAATATGTTTACTGTATACCAGTCATCGAAATGACTCTTTCGTATCTTTTTTTTAAGTTTTCATTAGAGTATAGTTCATTTACATGCGGTATTAGTTTCAGTTGTATAGGAAATTAAACCTGTTAACCTCATACACATATTGATTCTTGTTTTTTTTTTATTAATTCCTTTACTATACAGATTGTTACAGAGTAGTTAGTAGAGATTCCACTGCTTTACAGCAGTTTCTTATTGTTATCTATTATATAGAGAGTAGTGTTGTGAATTCAAATCTCCCAATTTATCCTCGAACCTATCCCCTGTTAACAATAGGATTTTTCTACTTCTGTTTTGTAAATAAGTACTCATGTACCTCTTTTTTGATTCTACATATTAGTGATATCATGTAATATTTGCCTTCCTTTGACTATCTTCTCTCAGTTTGACAATCTCTAGGTTCATACATGTTGCTGAAAACAGTGTTAATATATTCCTTTTTATGACTGAGTAATATTCCATTGCCTATATTACTGCATCTTCTTTACGCATTACTCTAATGGATGTTTAGTTGGCTTCCATATCCTAGCTATTGTAAATGTGCTATTATGATCATTGGGGAGATTGTATCTTTCCAAATTATAGGCTCATGACAGAGGCCTTTTGAAGAACACTATGGAGATTTCTTACAAAACTATCAGAATACAATAGGACCCAGCAATTCCCCTCCTGGACATACTCAAAATGATTTTTGAGAGTCAATTTGGTATAGTTAAATTAATTCACATTGTTGTGTAACTATACCAGCCTTCATCTCAGAACTCTTTTCATCGTCCTAAACTGAACCTCTGTACACACGAAATTAGAACTTTCATCCAGGTCGAGAGAATAAAACCAAGTTGTTAATAGTGGTTCATTGTGGGGTAGGATTTGGAGGAAATCTTTGACTCTTAGAACACACTTTCTTTCGGAGTGTTAAAGGAGCATGTATTTGTTTTTCAGTCAGCAAAAAGAATTTCAAAATGTGGGCATTTCTACTTGATCAGAAAGAACTCCCCCATCTAAACATCTCCCTCACTCTGATCTCTCCTTTAAGTACTGTCAGCAGGCAAAATCCTAACTTGGGTACATTTTCAGCCCCTAAAGAAAGGAAACACCTTCTCTCCCCTCATAACACCAAGAAGGCAAGATGTAAAATTCCACTTTACTGAGACCCACAGAAGGTATTCATGTTAGCTAACTTCATACAGAAAGCTAGTAGGATGAGTGGTGGTTTCAATTCTACTATTATGTCCATATCATGCTCCCAACATTCATTCACAAAGCATTATTCAACATTAACTCTTCTAGGAGATGGAGATGCAGATGAGAATAAGACCAACTATCTGAAAGGATCTTACCTTCCTGCATGAGTGTGTGAATTAAAAAAGAGGAAAGAAACAGATGAAAAAAATAACCCACTGGAAAGGATTTGTTGCTGGAGCCTGACTCCTCAATAACAGGTTCTGGTGGACCTTTCTGGCCACATCTTTGCCCCTCCTCAAACAACTGTGCCAGGCTAGCATGACCCATCTCTTCACTGTATGTGCAGCATTTACTGGCCTCCTGGGAAAACATAACTTACCTGAAGGCCTGTACATTTTGCCTTGTAAATTCATCTCCTAATATCTTTGGAAAAGAACCCCTTCTCTCCACCCACTACCAGCCTCCTTAGACCAGGGTAAGTAATCTTTTAAAGAGCCAAATTGTAAGCATTTCAACACTGGGGCTCAAGAGGCAACTTGGATGATATTGCATAGACACAAAATCATTTAAAATGCCAAAACCATACTTCGCTCATGGGCTGTAGAAACACACAAACAATCAGGGGCCTAGATTTCAATCATGGGTCTATGAGGTGACAGCTGATGTCGACTGTGACCTTGCGATTGAGCAGGACCTATGCAGCCTTCCTGGGAAAGATCCCTCATGTTCTCTGCCTGCTTCTTATATGTGGAAAATCTTCAGCTTCCTAAGCCTTCCCCAAATTTCAAAAATAAAATTATTAACAGTAATCACAAACACAGAAAGAAAACAGTCCCAATCAAGAAAATAAATAACAGTTTAACCATTCCACAAATGCAAAGAATTAGTTTGTTCCCAAGAGCCATAGATAATGTTGAGACTCATCATTGAGCAGCATTGCAAATACTGAACCCCCAGCAGGTGGAAGAAGTTGCTGACCAGCCCATAAACCTCAGACCAGGGGAAACCAGAAGGTTGATGATGGTGATTCCCAGTTACCTCACCACCAAGCAATCAGATGATTCTCTAGGAGCTGTTCATGCACCCAGAATCTCTACCTCATTTAGTCTCTAGACACTATACCTAGGTAATCAAAATAGGTTTCATGCATTTTGAGGCTTAAATCTCTGGACTCCTTTCTTCGCCCTTGTAATAAAGCCTACACTTTCTTTCACCAAAACCCACTGTCAGTTTAGGCACTTTACCTTGTTCCCACAAGCAGACCCAAATCTGGAAGGCAGCTATGCTCACCACTATACCACCAACGCTAGACCCAAATCTGATTTGCAAACAAATGCTCCCCGTCACCTGTCTCCCCAACACCTCAACACAGAAGACTCCTAAATTACAGCTTGTCTGCAACGGATTGGACCTTCTCACTCCTGTACCTAAAACCCTCCTGGAGATCCCCTTTGCCCTTGAGATAAGGGCCAAGGTACAAGCTACTGTTCCTGGCATCAGAGGGTCCGGATGCGTTTTCTCAGCTGCCCTCCTTCTCATTTCAGGCTCAAGGTTACGTGATTCTCTGACCTCCTCTGGATACTCCCAGGTCCCAGGCTGGGCTGAGGTGGGCATGGACAGTCAGACAGTTCCTGATGGCAAAGCTCCCCCAAGGCCATGTGAACAAGATGTCCCTCACTCTAGGTGATCCCCAGAACCTAGGTTAAGCATCCACCTTAGGACCTGTATCTTTCCCCCTTCAATGCACCATGTGCACCTGAAGTGGCAGGTGCCCATGGCCTCCCAAATCCATCTCAGCTTTCCTTACGCAGGGCCAAGTAAGAGAAGATCAACTGCAGGACCGCGAAGGTCTGTAGCCTGCGTTCCAGTGGCACAAACAAAGGTGCAAACTCCACCATGCTGATTCCTCTGCTTCCTTAGAGGCTTCTCTGAGCTCCAGTGTACTCTGAGACACCTGCTGGGTTTTGTTGCTGCCAGAGTTTGTTAAGCTTCTGTGGGAGTTGGGGAGAGGGAGGGGTTGGGTGTCTAGCCAGCTGTAGAGTCTCATTGCACCTACCCTGGCAGGGAGCAGTATGCTAGGTGAAATATTTAAAGTCACCTGGCCTGGACTAAACTTACTACAGAGGAAGACAAGTGCAGTGGACTCTTCAGGCAATACATTATCTGCCAGATCACCTTTGCTCAAATCTTGCCCATTACTTGGCAAATAAAGCAGCAAGTATAGGGCAATCCTGCCCTCTTTACACTTACTCATTATTTGGCAGCCCTAATTGTCTCCTTTCACCTGCCAGGTCCACAATTCCCCTTTACAAATAAGAAGTACCTGCTCCCATGCAAATATCTCTAGGCCCCACTATCTATCTCCTCCATCTGGCTGCCTTTTCCTCAGTTTGCCTGGACAGCAACACTCAGGGAAGTGCGGTCTGATTTCCATGCCCTCTCCTCCATTCTGTCCTCCCTCTCCCAGACTTCAGATGCCACTGTTCCATGGAACTAACCTTGTCAAGTTCACCACTGGCCTCCACACTGCTGAATACAGTGACCAATTCTCAGCTCTTATTTTGACCTCTCAGCAGCCTCAGACACAACTCTTTCCTCCCTCCTCCTTGAAACCACTTGATCTGTGGACACCACACTCTCCTGGTTTCCCTCCTGCCCCTCCATCTACCTCTGGGTCCCCGTGGTGTCTCTTATTCTTCACCAGGCTAGGTGTTTCAGGGCCCTTCTGTCCCCTCAGTCCTTGGACCTTCCTTCTTCTCTCCACCCTTCCCCTCTCAGAGACGTCCTCCAGGCTCATGGCCTTGGAGCCTTTGTACAGGGTGATCACTTCCAAACTGTATCTCTAGCCCTGACTTCCCCACAAGCTCCAGATTTGACTATGTAGTGGGTACTTGACATCCTCGCTCACAGCCTACTTGGCATCTCCATCACAGCCTGTCTAAAACTGAACTTCACTTCCCCTCACCTGCCCATTCTACAGTCTCCACATAGCCACAGAGCTTTCCAAAGTGATCACACAGGGAATATCCTGGTCATCCAGTGCTCATGACGCTGCCTTTCTTGGCTGATGGCCAGGGCACCTTCGAAATGTCACTGTGGTTACAGTGCTTTCCTAGTGGTAGTGAGTACACTTGAAAATGTTTACAAGTCATTCAATATCATTTCATCAAGTTCATGCTCTATTCTTTTGCTGATTTAAATGTCTCTTGCGATGGAAAGCTGCTTTCCACCACCACAGCCAGCCACTCTGACGGACTGTGATGACAATGTTCTCGCTGGTCCCTGTCCCTGTGCCCTTATTCCTACCACAGACTCACAAGCCAGAGGGACTGCTGGGTATCTGATTGCACAAGCTAAGGAGCAGTAGTGCCAGAACTTTGCACAAAACTCTAGCACCAATGTAGATTTAGACCAGAATGTATGCTGTGTCCAGATACATATCTTTTCTGCCTTTCTATGTAGTCAGACACCTTATTTACTGGGGTGTAGAGTGATATCATTTCATCAAAGATGGGCACTATAAAGGACAGAAAAGGTATGGACCTAACAGAAGCAGAAGATATAAGAAGAAGTGGCCAGAAAACAAAGATGAACTGTACAAAAAAGATCTCCATGACCCAGATAACCTCGATGCTGTGATCACACACCTAGAGGCAAATATCGTGGGCCTTGGAAAGCATCACTACGAACAAAGCTAGTGGAGGTGATGGAAATCCAGTTGACCTTTTTCTTTTTTTCCCCCCATTTATTTTTATTAGTTGGAAGCTAATTACTTTACAATATTATAGTGGTTTTTGTCAATGTATGGCCACTGAGCTTTTTCAAATCCTACAAGATGATACTGTAAAAATGCTACACTCAATATGCCAGCAAATTTGGAAAACTCAGCCATGGCCACAGCACTGGAAAAGTCAGTTTTCATTCCAATCCCAAAGAAAGGCAAGTCCAAAGAATGTTCAAACAACCACACAATTTCACTCATCTCAAATGCTTTCAAAGTAATACTTAAAATTCTCCAAGCCAGGCTTCAACAGTACATGAACTGTGAACTTCCAAATGTTCAAGCGGGAAATAGAAAAGGCAGAGGAACCAGAGATCAAATTGCCAACGTCCACTGGATCATTGAAAAAGAAAGCAAGTTCCAGAAAAACATCTACTTCTGCCTTATTGACTATGCCAAAACCTTTGACTGTGTGGATGACATCAAACTGTGGAAATTTCTTAAAGAGATGGGAAAACCAGACCACCTGACTGCCTTTCTGAGAAATCTGTATGCAGGTCAGGAAGAAACAGCTAGAACAGGACATGGAACAACAGACCGGTTCCTAATAGGGAAGGAGTATGGCAAGGCTGTATATTGTCACCCTGCTCACTTAGCTTATAAGCAAAGTACACATAAAATTCCCAGGCTAGATGAAGGACAAGCTGGAATCAAGATTGCCAGGAGAAATATCAATAACCTCAGATATGCAGATGACACCACCCCTATGGCAGAAAGTGCAGAAAAACTAAATAGCCTCTTGATGAAAGTGAAAGAGAGTGAAACACTTGGCTTAAAACTCAACATTCAGAAAACAAAGAACATGGCATCCAGTCCCATCACTTCATAGCAAATAGATGGGGAAACAATGGAAACAGTGGCAGGCTTTATTTTGGAGGGCTCCAAAGCCACTGCAGATAGAGACTGCAGCCATGAAATTAAAAGACACTTGGTCCTTGGAAGAAAAGCTATGACCAACCTAGACAGCATATTAAAAAGCAGAGATGGTACTTTGCCAACCAAGGTCAGTCTAGTCAAAGCTATGGTTTTTACAGTAGTCATGTATGGATGTGAGTTGGACTTTAAAGAAATCTGAGCACCAAAGAACTGATACTTTTGAAGTGTGGTGTTGGAGAAGACTCTTGAGAGTCCCTTGGACTGCAAGGAAATCTAACAAGTCCATCCTAAAGGAAATCAATCCTGAATATTCATTGGAAGGACTGATGCTGAAACTGAAACTCCAATACTTTGGCCACCTGATGCAGAGCACAGACTCATTGGAAAAGACTCTGATGCTAGAAAGATTGAAGGAAGCAGGAGAAGTGCACAACACAGAATGAGATATTAGATGGCATCATCGACTCTAGGGACATGAGTTTGAGAAAACTCCCGGAGTTGCTGATGAACTGGGAAGCCTGGGGTGCTGTAGTCCTTGGGCTTGCAAAGAGTTGGACATTACTGAGCAAGTGAACTGAACTGAACTGAGAGTGATATCAGGGCATAGTATTGATTTACATTTCCTCGTCATGAATGGTGAACATGAATTTTATCATTGCATTCTTCCAACTGGAAAATTTATGATCAAAGAAGACACTGAAATTAGGCAGAGGGAGAAGTTGAACTGAAACAGGTTCTCAAAGAAGTCCTATATTGGGCTAAAGTGTCCAAAGCTGATATTCTACCTGATCTGTCTTAGGATCAGTTGCCCCTGTGCAGGAAACTCTGAAGCTGGGACCACCCCTCCTTCTTGAAGGTGCATCTAGCAGTCCTTTTCCCGGGTCCTCCGACAAGACAGGTTGGAAGAGCCATGGATGAGAGCTGAGACCAGTCTTGTATTGGCCACCTCCCAGCTGTGTGACTTCAGACAAGTCCTTCCCTTCCCAGAGCTCCTCATTCTACTGGATATCAGGGGCTAAGTTGGGCACCCCTACTGACCCATATACAGGGCTCAGCCGTCCACCGGGGTTCTGTGCCCTTCACCTCACAACTCCATTACAAGTAAGCAGCCATGGATCAACCTATGTCCTGGGTAGTGTGGCTCCTGTGTGGTCTGAGGACCTGCTTTGTCTGTCCTGCCTGTTACTGGTTCCTGACCAGGTACGTACAGGGTTGGAGAGTAACTGCTCAGAAACCTTAGAGCAATGTGGCAAAGCAGTTCTATGTGTATGAAACTAATAAATAAAAACTGGATTTGAAATGTGTTTTTTCATTTCTATGGTAATTATTATTGTATTTTACAAATGGATGGTCCTCTTTGGTATCTCAGTGGTAAAGAATCTGCCTGCTCATGCAGGAGATGCGGGGTCAACATTTGGTCAGGAAGATCCCCTGGAGAAGGAAATGGCAACTCAGATCAGTATTTTTGCCTGTGAAATCCCACAGACAAGGAGCCTAATGGGCTACACTTCATGGGATCACAAAGAGTTGGACAAGACATACTGCCAAAACAACAAAAGCAATTATAAATAAATAACTTTGTGGTAGGTTAGAGAAAAGAAATATTACAAAAATATCAAACTTTAACATGACATATTGAGGTAATATTTCCCACAATTCAAGTGAAGTGAAAGTAGTTCAGTAGTGTGGACTCTTTGTGAACCCATGGACTATACAGTTCATGAACTTTCCCAGGACAGAATACTGGAGTGGGTAGCCTTTCTTTTCTCCAGGGGATCTTCCCAACCCAGGGATTGAACCCAGGTTTCCCACATTGCAGGTGGATTCTTTACCAGCTGAGCCACAAGGGAGGCCCACTAATCGAGGGTAACCACAATAAGAACATCTGACATTTTAACACCTTCAGAGGGAGGTGGCCCTTTAAATCCTGCAGCACTGATATTTACTGATAAGACCAGTGCTTGATGCTGTTCTTGTTAATATTCTGGGCCCCTTATGAAATAGCTGAGAGAAGGAATCTTCCTGCCCATCTATACCCATCTAGCTCTCACTAGGGATGTAACTTCACAGACGTGGCACACGTTCAACTTGTAGAAGAAGGAGACACTCAGGTCAGCTCTCTGGTAGGGAGTGAGAAGATGATATGGAATCTTAAAAAAGTCCATACCTAGTTGGTGACTGAAACAAACACTCTCAGGTCTTTTAAAACCATATCCAAGCATTTTATAAAAAGAGCAGATG